TGGCTCGGCCTGGGGCTGCCCTCGGCCGAGTCCTGACCCCACCTTCTCACTCCTAGACGTCCATCTTCACTGACAGCCCGGATGAAGGCCTCCAGGAGAGACTGGGTAACTCTGCCTGGCCTGGGTGGGGTGGGGACCCCTCAGCTGCTGCCAAAGAAGGGTGGGGGGGCTGTGCTCTGGTCCGAGGGCTCCCAGGAAGCAGGGCTGCCCACCCCTGGCATGTAGGGGCTCACGTCTTCCCAGGAGGGGTGGCAGGCTTCTTTCCTGGAACAGGTGTGGGTGTGGATGGGGGAGGTCCCAGCCCAGCCTGCTGCCACTGGCTCTGTGGTTCTGGGCAGGTTGGCCCTCTGTGGGACTCAGGTTCACCATGTGAGAGATGGGTGTGGGTGGGTTACTCTGATGCTGGGTGCTGTCTGAGCCCCAGAGCAAGTCCCTCCCTCAGCTCCCTCTCTGAGGCCAGGCCTCTCTTGGCATTTGTGTTTGGGGCTGCGAGGGCTAGTTGTGCAGCGTCCCCTGACTCTCTCCTGCTTCTCCAGGGTCCCACCTTGTGGTCACCAACTGCTCCGCGGAGCACAGCCACCCAGCTCTGTCCTGCAAGATGGCTGCTGAGTTCAATGCCTTCTTGGCCAGTGGGCTCAGGTGAGGTTCTGGTCTCTGGGGTGGGTCGGCCCTTGACCTCAGGCTACTTCCTGAATTGAGTGCTGTGTCAAAAAAGTGAAGTGGTCTGGATCCAGTGGAAAGAGCCCCTGGGCCTCCTGGAGTCTGACTCCAGTCTCCACCCACCTAGCAGGCAGTGGGCAGCAGGCTGGGCAGATCAGCTGGGTTCAAATCCTGCCATTTAATTGTGTGACCTTGGGCAAGTGTCTTAACCTCTCAGAGTATTGGTCCTCGTCTGTTACGTGGGCACACCCTCCTCTCAAGCTTACCCAACACGCTGCTTGGTACAAAACAGGTGTCCTAAATGTTAGCCAACCCTCACCCTCACCCCCACCCTGTAGCTGTTTGTAGACTGATTATAAGAGCACAAGAGGAGCTTGGCTGGCTTGGACTCCCCCAAGTTCACTGCCTCCCGTCCACCCCCACAGGTGGTTCTGCCATGTGGACGATGACAACTATGTGAACCCGAGGGCGCTGCTGCGGCTGCTGAAAGCCTTCCCACCAGACCGAGATGTCTACGTAGGCAGGCCCAGCCTGAATCGGCCCATCCATGCCTCGGAGCCGCGGCCTCACAACCGCACGGTCTGTCCCTTCCTTCCGCCTTCACCCAGTGGCCGCTGGTCCTGGGGGGGGGCAGGTGCTGGAGAGAGGAGACAGGTTCTCGGTTTCGGATTTGGTTCATCTCTCTGGGTTTGGCCCGGTGGCTTCTGCTCTTTGAGCCTCAGTCTCTTCCTCTGTGAAATGGGGAGAATGAGATAATGCATTCTCTCTCCAGACGTCTCCGGTGATGGGGAGTTGACCCCTGGCACGACAGGGGGCCCCTGTACCAGCATCAGCTCCAGACCTGGGTGGACACTGATTAGGGTCGTCAGATTTAGAAAGCAAATAAAAAACCAAGATACCTGGTTATGGTTGACTTTCGGATAAACAGTAAGGAATTTAGTATAAGGGTGTCCCAAATATTGCATGGTTCTTTCCCTGTCCGACCAGGCTTCAGGTGTTGCATTGGCCTAGGCTAGGGCTCCCTGGGCAGGTCAGGAGTTCCCCTCCCTTAGAGGCCAGGCCTGGTGGGGACCTGGGTGCTCTGTGGAGCTCACCCTTCACCCCAGGACCAGGGGGTCCCCTCCCCAGAAGCAGGGCCTGGTAGGGACCTAGGCACTCTGTGGGGCTCACCCTCCCTCCCTTTCCAGGGTCGGAGGGGATCCCCTCCCTAGAGGCAGGGCCTACTGGGGACCGGGGCACTCTCTGAGGCCCTCCCTCCCTCCCCAGGTCACCATCTGCTTCATTAGGAAAACCAAGAGCAGAAAACACAACCATAATTATCAGCAGCTCATCAGCCTCTGAGCCCTAATTACATCCTCTGGGCCCCGGGGCTCTGTGTGTGAGTGATTCTAAGGGAGCCAAGAGCTCCCCAGGCCTCCACACTTTACCCCTGGCTATGCACCTGTGCTTACGTGGTTTGCCTTTGGAGCTGGGGCATCCAATCTGGAGCCTCACTCCCTGGGTTACACGCCAGCCTGGCCACCTCCTGACTTTGTGACCTTGACTGATGTCATCTAACTTCTCTGTGCCTAGGTTTCCTTGATTGTGAAGCAGTTGATTACAGCCCCTACCCACGGGGGTGGCTGTGATCATAGAATTCAATGAGGTCATCTATCCCAGATCGTGGCACGGGACCTGGCGCACAATAGACGCTAGAAAACATTAGACGTCTGTGTGAGATTCGGCTCTGCCTTTGTATCTGAGCGTGTCTCTCCTGTGCATGTTCAATGCCCACCTGGGTACACCTGGCCCATCCACCTAGGCCCGCCACTGTGGCCTAGGGGAGCCGGTGCAGCGTTTGCAGACCCTCCCAAACCAATTAGCTATGTGATCTTGGGCCTCAGTTTCTTTATCTATATAATGGGTACAATAGCGCCATACTGTAGCGAGACTCTAATGAGATGTAAAATAAAGAACTTTTGAGCCATGCTGGCGGGAGGATGAAAGGTGGCCAGGCTGTGCCCCCTCCTGCCCTCTGTTCCCCCAAACCCCCAGACTCACTCTGCACCTTGGTGCTCCCCGCCCTCAGAGACCCGTACAGTTTTGGTTCGCCACTGGGGGCGCCGGCTTCTGCATCAACCGCAAACTGGCTTTGAAGATGGTGCCGTGGGCCAGGTAAGCAGAGACCCTGGGGTAGGCAGGGGGTTTCTGCCAGGGTACAGGAGGGCCCTTAGCAGCAGGAAGGGCTTGAATGGGAGCTCGGGAGACATGGCCCCTTTTCTGTGTGTCACAGAGCCGCACAGTCAGTGGCAAACAAGCTACCTGCCACTCTGTTCTCAGGGGCTACATGGTCAAGTGCACGCTGTCACACACAGGCAAGTCGTGCTACCTCCGAGAGCCTCAGTCCTCCCATCTGCAAATGGGCTTGACAGCACAACAGCCAAAGGTGTGCTGAGGGTTCTGTGAGCAAATGTCTGGGCAGGCACTGGGAAGTCCTGTCTGATGCCCTCTTCTGACCTGCCCACACCACAGAGGAGGTGAAGGCCACATATAGGGGCACTCAGAGGAGGGGGAAAGGCCTTCTGGTTGGGGACAAGGGGGAAGGCTTCTAGGAGGAGGTGGCATCTGAGCTAAGATAGCCCTGGGGCCCCAGCTGGGGGCATCCCAGGGGCAGTAGAAGCCTTAGTGTGGGCGTGGCACCGGAATTCTACAAGGAGCCAAGGCCTGGCCTCTGGAAGGCTTCCTGGCAGGCTGCTATCGTTACCAGCAGTGTCAGTGAGCTACCACCTTGTGTTGAGGGTTGGCTCTGAGCCAAGCCTGTGCTTTGCCAAGAGGATCACGACACAGGGAGTGGGTGGAGGGAAGGTGGCGTTAGCCTTGTTTTTTCAGCTGAGGAAACTGAGGCACTGAGAGATTAAGCAATTCTAAGGTCACCCACGTTCAAGATCACTCAACTGCGGAGTTAGGTTCCAAAGCCTGCGTGCTTTGCTGGGACATGAACCCGCCCTGTCTCACCCTGGCTGGGTGGGGCCCCCCGGGGGATTCACGTGGGAGCAGGGGTGGGCATGTTGTCCTGGGAAGTCTACAGCAGGTGTGGAGCAGGAGTTGGCCCTGTGCTGGGAGCTCCAGCCAGGCTCTGCCCACCTGTGTTACCTCGCTGTGCGTTAGGAAGAGCCCCCATGCCCACTCCTACAGGTACAGCTCATGGCCACGCATGCTGGGCTGGGGGCCCAGGCTGGGTTTCTGCACCCTTTTGCCCTTGGTCAGGTGTCCTGGGGAGGGGCATCCGTGGGGTGCATGGGGCCAGGTGATGCCTTGCCTGGAGCAGTTCTCCTCCCTCAGCACCTGCAGACTCCATTTTCAACCTGCCACCTCCTCTAGGAAGCCCGCCTCACACTCCCTGTGCCCCCGGGCTGTGTGCTTCCGGCTGACTTAGCACCGCAGAGTGGGACTGCTGTCTTTCTCCTCTGTGTTCTCAGCCCTGGTGTAGCATCAGGGAGACTCTCAAGCTCAGCAACAAACAAATGAGTGAATGACTGAATGATGAGAACGGGAGCAAAGGAAAGATGATTTTTTTTTTTTTGAGTCGGAGTCTCACTCTGTCGCCCAGACTGGAGGGCAGTGGCCACTCCCGGCCACCGCAGCCTCGACCTGTTGGGCTCCGGCGATCCTTTTGCCTCAGCCTTCCGAGTAGCCGAAACTACAAGCACGCCCTACCAGGCCCAGCTTATTATTACTTAAAAAAAATTTTTTTTTTATTTTAGAGATGAAGTTTCACCAAGTTGCCCAGGCTGATCTTGAACCCCTGGGCTCAGGCAATCCTCTCACCTCTGCCTCCCAAAGTGCTGGGATTACAGGCCGAGCCACCATGCCGGGCTGGAAAGAATACTTTTATAAAGGGCTTCAGCAACCCAGTCCCCTATTGAATCCTCCCAACGGCCCTGGGAAGGCGGGGACGTTATCACCCCCAGTTCACAGGAGACTGAGGTTCTCTGGGAGATTCCCAACTTGGTCAAGGTCATATGGCACACGTCAGGCAGGAGCTCTGCTCTCCCCGCTGACCTGGTGAAGGGGTGAGGGGTGGAGGCTCTGGGCGTGGAGCACCCGGGCAGCGGCCACAGCCCAACCCTGTCTCTCAGTGGCTCCCGTTTTGTGGACACATCCGCTCTCATCCGGCTGCCGGACGACTGCACCGTGGGATACATCGTGGAGTGCAAGCTGGGCGGCCGCCTGCAGCCCAGCCCCCTCTTCCACTCCCACCTGGAGACCCTGCAGCTGCTGAGGGTCGCCCAGCTCCCGGAGCAGGTGAGCTGGTTTCGGGGCAGGTGGCGATGGGGGCAGAGGAAGGTCCCCACAAAGGAACATGGGATCTCCCCTCTTCCGCCCTCCTGGCATTTGAGAGCAACCTGGAACTCTGTATACTCAGGGGGGCCTGGTTATCCCCTATTGACGGGGAAACGGAGGCCCAGGTGACAGAAGACCCCCTAAGAGCACACAGTGCCCTCTCCGCCTCTTCTGAGGCTGAAATTCTTTGATCTGGCCCCCAAATGCCAGCCGGAAGAACCTGGGAAGGCGAGAGGAAGCTTGTCTTCAGTTCCCACCACCCTGCTCTCACCCCTGCCTCTATTCCTCTCTCCCTCCCTTGCCTGCCCTCCCCACGTCCCTCCTAAGAAGCCAGGCCTTCCGCTCCTGACTCCTCCCAGCAGCCTCCTCTTCTTTAAGACTTCCCTGTCTTTCTGCTAACCCCGAGGTTACTGAGAAGGACAGGTCTTTAGGGGGGACACGCAGGCATGGTGGGGGAGTGGCGCCATTCCATCTGGCAGGGGAGGCACTGCTCACAGGTCAAGCTGGCTCTGCCTGCCTTGCAGATGCCACCCTTGGACTCTGTAGACCAGTGATCCCTAACCTTTTGGCATCAAGGACCAGGTTTGTGGCAGACAGTTTTTCCATGGACCAGGGGAGGGGTGGTTTCGGGATGATTCAAGTACATTACATTTATTGTGCACTTTATTATTACATTGACATAGATAATGAAATAATCATACAACTCACCCTAATGCATAATCAGAGGGAGCGTTGAGCCTGTTTTCCTGCAACTAATGGTCCTCTCTGGGGGTGATGGGAGACAATGACACCCGAAGTGTGCTGCTTATGTCCAGTCTACTCTGTAATCGCTATGGCTGCTGTCACTGCAGAAAACTGGCTTCATGAAGATAGGATGTGGGAAATGGAAAAAGGTTTTTCGGTGCTGATCTGACAAGTTGGGGACCCCTGCTGTAGACGGTCCTGGCTGGAGGGTCCCTGGGATCTTCCGCCCAGCAGTGTGAGGCAGAGCCTTTTGGGTGCAAGTGACAGAAACTCAACATTAACTGGTTAAACAGAAAAGGAGATGTGTTGGTGGCTCACGTAACTGAGAAGCCGAGGGCTTGGCTTGTGAGGGGTGTCTGGGTCTAGTAAAAGATAGCATTCTGGGTTCTCTCCTGTCCCATCTGCTCTCCCTCACCCTCAGGCAGGCCCACCCCTCACGCTGGCAGGAGGGCAGCCCCAGGTTTCTACCCCACCATGGTGAGAGCTCTTGCTGCCACCAATGATCCCAGATCATTGACTGAGGGCCGGCCTGGAGTCATAGGACTTATCTCCTGCTGGCGCCTGGAGTTAGTGCTGACTGCTCAGGCCTGGAGCTAGGGGAGAGGTTGGTTGCATTAGGTTGCAGGGCCTGAAGGCAGGGAATGGGATTTTGGGCAGCCAAAACTAGAGTCCTCTAAAGGTTAGGAATTCCTGAGCACCCGCCATGCCAGGCACCACACTGGGGGCCTTACCTACTCTCCGGTTCCCCATAATATTCACATGAAGTCAGGACTAACATTATCCCCCTTCTACAGAGGCAGAACTGATTGTGACACACCGCTGGTGCAGGACAGAGGGGGACTGGAACTTAGCTGGGTGGTCCCTGAGCCCACAGTCTTGGACCATTGTGCCACTGCCTCTGAGCTGCAGCAGTGACCCCATGTCCGCACTGATTGGTGGAGTGGAGGCGCTGGGGGAAGAGGGTCTGCCAAGGCCCTCCATTGTGTCTCAGAAGACCCCAGCTCTATTCTGGACCTGCAACTTACTGGAAAGTTGCTCTTCTCTCCAAATCTGTAGGATGAGGGCATGGGTCCAGCCTCCCGGGTAAGCCGAACTGTAAGAGTGCTCAGCAAGCCGGCAGGTTCCTTGGGGAGTGGGCGGGCTCCCTAGTGAAGCCCCTCCCTCCAACTGTAGGTGCGGTGGCCGCCTCTGGCACCTCTCCAAGTGCCCTCTCTGCCAGGATGCTGCCCCCTGGTGGGGGTCCCCAGTGTGATGGTCCAACACGTCTCTGTGTCTCCCTGCCCAGGTCACCCTCAGCTACGGTGTCTTTGAAGGAAGACTCAACGTGATCAAGCTACAGGGTCCCTTCTCCTCCGAGGAGGACCCCTCCAGGTGGGTTGGGGGCTGGGGCTGTGGGGCAGGAGGAAGAGGGGCTAAGTCCAGGCATCCAAACCCGGCGACTGGGCTGGGAGGGAGAGGAGTGGGAGGGAGTGGATGTCAGTCCCTGCTCTGACACTGGCTTGCTGTGTGTCCTCGGGCAAGCGTCTTGCCCTCTCTGGGACTCAGTCTCCCCATTCACAACACGTGGAGGCTGGATATCATGGATCCTCTGGGAGTCTTCAGGAACCCCTGGGAGACTGAAACATCCTCACTGAGCAAGGCAGATGCTCTCCTGGGGGAATCAGACGTGGAGGGGAGTTTTTATTTATTTATTTATTTGAGTTGGAGTCTCACTCTGTCACCCAGGCTGGAGTGCCGTGGTGCACTCACGGCCATCCCGGTGTCTAACCACTGGGCTCCGGCCATCCTTCCGCCTCACCTTCCAAGTAGCCGGAACTACAGGCATGTGCTCCCATGCCTGGCTAATTTTTTGACTTATTGTAGAGACGAGGGTCTCACCAAGTTGCCCAGACTGGTCTTGAACCCATGGGCTCAGGCAATCCACTTGCCTTCCATAATGCTGGGATTACAGGCTGAGCCACTAGGCCTAGCTGGGAATTTTTATCTTTTTGAGGCTCTTTCTTTCTCTGATACTTTCAGATGCTTCCTCTAGGTGGGTAGAGGGTTGAAATGGTGCCTTCCAGTGCCACCCAGGACAGGCCGCAGGGAGATGAGGCTGCTCAGCTCGGGCCCTGCTTATCTAGCATAGTCCTGGCACACCCTGTGGCGTACAGCTCCCCTACTCCACACCAGCGCCCCCAGCCAGCCGTGGCTTCTGCTTTCAGCTTGCCGGGGGGAGTAGGGGGAGGGGGGAAGTAGGGGAGGCACATGGACCTGGGCCCACTGGTCCTACCCCAGAACTGATGCTCAATTCCTCCCAGCATCTCTGCCAACCGACAGCCTGGCTTCAGTCTGCATGACCCCAGCCACGTGGGGCTCCTCCCTCCTACGGCAATCTGCTCCATCTCTGGGCCATCAGACTGACCCCCAGCTCCTCAGCCCCCATTCCTGCCCCTGACCAGTGACGAGCAGAGGGCCCGGCGACGGGGAAGGAGCCCGGATCCTGCCCTTGGGGAAAGAGCAGGGGCCCTGGGAGGCAAAGGGAGGCAGATGGGGTGCACTCTGGGCCCACTCAAATGCCAGAGACTTGTCCAGAGGAAGAACTTAGGGGTGACGGGTCTGGGACCCCATATGTGCAGGGCATGAGGGGCACAGAGAAGTACAGGCTGTTACGGGAGAGAATAAGACAGGGCCCTGATGTTGCCTGGGGAGTGGGTGCTGGCCAGGAAGGCCTCTCGGAAGAGGTGGCATGTGGGACTGAAGGACCGGCCCGAGTGAACTGGGAGAAGAGGCGGATGGCGGAGTGCCCCAGGTGGAGGGCACAGCATATGCAAAGGCCTAGTGGCAGGAGATGGCTCTTGCTTGACCTGCTTAGGGAAGGCAGTGTGACCTGGATGCAGAGGAGAGGAGAGGCTGGTGGAAAATCCAGCTGGGGGGGTGGCAGGGAGCCTGCTCAGGGCCCTTGGAGGCCCTGTGTGGACCCTGGATTTGTCTGGAGTATATCTGAACCCTTGGGGGAACCAGGGCTCCTGACCCTAGAGAGCTTCCTGTCCTGGAGCAGAGGGCTCACAGCTATTCTGAGGGTCCCAGGACCAGGGCTGAGTTGGACAAATTGGACCTTACAAGGAGACGGAGTTTGGCTCAATACAGGAAAAATACATTCAAAATTCCAAGATGAAAGAAGCTGGCTTCTAACGGGATGAGCTCCCCGTCAGTGGAAGTGTGTGAGCTCTGGCTGCATTGCTGTATGAACTAATGTTCAACTTCCTCTAGGCCTGAAGATTCTAGAAGGCATAGGCTGCTGCCTGGTGGGGTTAGAGCCAACTGGAGGCTTGGCTAGGTGTGGTCGGATGCTCTGGCCTCAGCAGAGGTCTCTTTATGGCCTCTCTGGCTTTCCAAGTTTTTCTAAGCCAGGGGTTCTCAAGTGGGGGTGATTGTGTCCCCTAAGGGACATTTGGCAATGTCCGGAGACACTTTAAGGGATGACAGTTCAGGGTAATGCTGCCGGCATCTCGTGGGTAGAGCCCAGGATGCTGACGGGTACCGGATGGGGACAGGACGGCCCTCACAACCAAGAATGACCAGTCTCTGCATGCTGATAGTGTGGGAGTGGAGAAACCCTGCTCAAAGCCATCTCTGCACTGGCACCCCAGGAGGTTGGGTGAAGGTGGGTGCGGGGTGGCCATCTTGTCCTTTTCTGGTCTCTCTGCAGGTTCCGCTCCCTCCACTGTCTCCTCTACCCCGACACACCCTGGTGTCTGCAGCTGGCTGCCCGATGAACCCCAAGTGCTGGGGAGAGGTTGGGTGGAGATTTCCATCTGCCCCTCGCCTCCCAAGGCGGTGCTGAGGCAGTCCCAGCAGGGCCTCTGGGTGGGAGGCGGGCCCAGGGACCAGGTAGCAGCTGGCACCAAAGGCATCCCAAGCCCCCGGGAGGGGAAGTCGAACAGTCCAGACGATCAGGTGGGCCAGGTGGCACAGGAGAGCCTCCAGGGTGCCCTCAGGCGGCTCAGGCCTCGAGGGCAGGGGCACTCGAGCTGCAGGGAAGGGTGAAGGCCTGGGGCACTGATTCTTGAGAGAGTGACATGGCTGAGTGGGGGCTGGCCCTTGTTCCGGCTCTGGTCTGTCTGTCATTCCCTTGGGGTTCAAGGACTGTGCCACCTGCTCCCTCTTCCTTGGCTGGGTCCCCAGTCAGCAAGGGGCCCTGGGGGGACAATGGCCAATCCAGGGCCTGTGGCCGATGCCCCCCACCCTTCGCAACAGGGTCAGATTTTGGAGTCTCAGTGTGCCCAGGCCAAATGATGGGTTGTTTTGTTTTGAGTTGGAGTCTCACTCTGTCACCCAGACTGGAGTGCAGTGGCCACTCCCAGCCACTGCAGCCTCGACCTGCTGGGCTCCGGCGATCCTTCCGCCTCAGCCTTCCAAGTAGCTGGAACTACAGGCGCGCGCTACCATGCCCGGCTAATTTTTGATTTATTGTAGAGATGTGGTCTTGCCAAGTTGCCCAGGTGAGTCTCGAACCCACGGGCTCAGGCAATCCACTCACCTCAGCCTCCCAAAGTGTGGGATTATGGGTTGAGCCGCCAAGCCCAGCTCAAATGATGGATTTTAATGGGTCCCAGCCAATCCTGATGACCCCTTTGCTCACTTTCCCAGCCTCCCTTGCTGTTAGGGGCTACCACGTGGCCAGCTCCAGCCAGAGGGCACTCAGCAAAGCTGACAGGGATGTTTCTAGGGAAAGTTTGGCAGCACCCTACCCTATCTTCCTGCTGTGACTGTGGCTGTGATGACTGGTCTGGGCGGCCGCTTTGCCGCCATGAAGCAAAGGCCAAAACAATCATCCACAGTTATCCCCCCAGCGTCTGGTTCTGTAAGAAAATTAAACTTTTATTTGCTAAAGTCTTGCTTGGTCCAGTTTTCTGTTCCAGGCAGCCAAGGTGCTTCTGACTGTGGTAGGATCTTTATCTGCCTGTCACAGCGGCCTCTGCTCCTGGCTCAGAGCTTGGCACAGAGAAAGGAAGGGCCCTGTGGACAGTGATAGCTATTAACCTGTGTGTGTATTAGCATGTGGTGTGTGAAGGTGTGCATGGGTGTGTGAAAGAAGGTAGGTGCTAGTAATGACTCCACACCCGGCCAGGACCAAGAGATTTATTAAAGCGGCTGTTACAGAGAGGATCTGTAACAGGAAAAAAGAAAAAGAGAGAGAGAAAGAGAGAGTAAGAGAGAGAGAGGAGTGGGAGAGAGGTGGGGAGAGAGCTGCAGAGAGGGAGAGAGCGACAGAGAGAGAGAAAGAGAGACAAGAGAGAGAGTTGCGGGGAGAGGGCTGTATTTATTAGCCTGACAGTGGCGGGAAGGGGCCGTGCTATGTTCCTATTGGAGGAACTGCATGGGAGTAGGGTGGGCCCGACGCCGTGTTACAGTCCTATTGGACGCATAACAAAGCTGGCTACGGATTGGAGGCTT